CAATTTTTTGTTTTTAGCGTCGCCCTTTGCCCGACGCGTTCAGTCGTCCATAAACAAGGACCTGGAATCGAGAAAGCGCCGGGAAATTAGACTCGGTGCCTGAGGAAATTTATCCAAGGATTATGAGAATAGGGGACGGTTGGGGGATGCAGAAATCAGGAGAAGAATGAAAGATTTGACTAGGGTTTTTGGCTGTCCCAAGCCTTGATTTTTCAAGAAATCGCGGCCACCTGCTGTTAGAAGATATCGTATGAAGTTTCAAACTTAATTTTACAGCTTTTGATGAAGCTTGGAACATTCTAACAAGGGAATGGTCCCAACGATCCGTGGGATCCGCAAATGAAACCTAGATATTCTGAAAGACCAGGTAAAATTTAGTAGGAATTCGTTTTTTCTACTTGCCGAATAAGTCTGTGCGACGAGAAATATCGTCGAAAAGATCCGACCAAAAAATCGAAAGAGAGAAAAGACGAACCGAAAGGCTCTCGAAGGCGTCACCAAATAGTCTAGTGGAAAAAGTTCCACGCACAAATCTTTTGGGGGAGGGAGGCCTTGGACGTTCGAGTCCACCCGGAGCCGGACATCTCCGGACTTGAACCTACGTGTTCATTACTGTATTCTACAGTTACACAAAAAAAATTTTTTTTGTTTAACCTGTTTTACAAGGTTTTTTGCATCCGAAGGCGTGGCAATCACTGGTCATTACCTCTTTTTATGATGCCGCCAGGTCCGAAGTTCCAAAGAAGACAAATTTATGCAAATTTATACCTTCCGGGCAGAATTTGACAAAAAAAAATTTTAAACCAAAAAACTCAAAATAGATTTTTTCGTAAATATTCACGGGGTCTACTACGCGCTGATGCAAGGACCCAAAAATTCTCTTTTCAACTTTTCTTGCAAAATTTTATGAAAAGGTGAGATTTTGGCAACATCCTTTTTGGGAAACCGAAAAAGATCTGCAAGATCCTATACAACCTTCCAGAATCGAGTATAAGTGTCTTGAAAATACCAGCATGTCGACATCGGGCTTATCAAAAATATTGCCGAAGTGTCAACTTTTCTTAAAATTATGCAACAAACCTTGCAAAACAGGTCAATAAACAAAAAAAATTTTTATGTGACTGTAGAATACAGTACAGGGTGCGGCAAAAAAATGGAAACTTATTTTTATAGCTATATTTGTCCTAGCAATTCAAATTCCGCAAAAGTAACGGTCATCTTCAATAACATAGAGCGTTGTTTATAACATATTCAACCCGTTTTACCGTGGCTGCTTTTGGTGGCGATATAGAGCTCCAAACGTGACTTAAAATTTTGGCCTTTTGGCCGCAGCTTTTTTCGGGGAAATCGGTCCCGTTCTTGACGCAGCGATTACTTTGCGACTCCAAACTTTTGTGGCGTGTAGTACAGATGCTGGCCTCCAATTGAAAAAAAATTACAGCCCATTGGAAATATACCGGGCGAGCAGGCGCTCTTTTCGCAGACGGGGTGAAATCGGGAAAATCGGTCTCAAAATCGGTCTTGACTCGTTGTTGCCCTGTGAGTCGGCGCTGAGTCTAGTTGGAACGTCAAATTTGCGCTGCCAAGGTTCTACTGAGCCAACAGGAGCATGAGGAAATCGATGTTAACGGGGCGCTATAATTTTGCCCGTTCTTGCCGCTGGCACAAATGCCGCCCTAGGCGATGACGGCCCTTATTTTGACGGTGTTCGTCGTTAGCCGACGTGCAGGGGGCCTCATCGGATTGAACTATGACGTTATGTTGGTTGTGCACCCGCCAAAGATTGCACCGCGAAGGGAATGCGCTCCCATCGCGGACCTGCGGCCCGACGTCGGAATTTTCGGCATTTTTTCAGGCGTACGGGCTTGATCTTGCCGATTAGGAGTTGGGCATTTCAGACCTTGCGTGGGGAGACTTTGAGTTGATTTTTAGCTATTTGGCCGACTGGTCGGTCGCTGATGCCGGTCTCACGGGCAATTTTTTCTCGAAATCGACGGATTTCGCTATTGATGACTCCGCGGCTGGCAGAAATGTTGGCGGTACGTTTTCTTTCGCTTACTGGACGCTTAAAATTGTCAAAAAGCTCCCTGCATTGTGTGATTACTTTGGACACAACGTGCTTTCTATGCCGGGCAAATTAACAGTTCGCACAGGTAAAAAAACAGGTCCGAAATCGAGGTCCCTCTGTTTGTCATTCAAAAAAAGAATGTTAATAAACCGATATGGACATGAAATTATAAGGCCTAGGAGAGAAAGCTACGTAGAATTTAATGGTATGAAAATAATTTTGCTGCACTTAAAAATTTTTGCGTCAGGACCCCATGAAAAAAGTTTCCATTTTTTTGCCGCACCCTGTAATGAACACGTAGGTTCAAGCCGGAGATATCCGCTCCGGGTGGACTCGAACCTCCAAAGCCTCCCTCCCCCAAAAGATTTGTGCGTGGAACTTTTTCCACTAGACTATTTGGTGACGCCTTCGAAGGCCTTTCGGTTCGTCTTTTCTCTTTTTCGATTTTTTGGTCGGATCTTTTCGACGATATTTCTCGTCGCACAGACTTATTCGGCAAGTAGAAAAAACGGATTCCTACTAAATTTTACCTGCTCTTTCAGAATATCTAGGTTTCATTTGCGGATCCCACGGATCGTTGGGACCATTCCCTGTAAGATTAGGAAAGCAACGGGATTTTAGTCTTAAGGGCGGAACAGTTTTTGATTGCTATGTGCACAGTCGTTAATGAAGACATGGCCGCGCAAGATCCGCAACAATATAGCAAAGACGTTGTTTTTTCTTTGCCGGCGCTCTTCATTATTCATCGACCTTTGCAAAAATATATGGTTAAAGCATAAGGTTTTTAGGAAACAATGAATTGTATTCATTAATAATACAAGTGAATTGCGAGTATTGGAGCACTCTTCTGTTTGTTCGTTAATTTCCAAACCCTTCTCCTCCGCTGATCTTTGACTCTATAGTCCCTCTAAATTCTAAGAATCTCCCTCTTACCAGCTCATCTTTTAGCCTCTTCATTGGAATTGTACAACATACGATCAAAGATATTTCCATTTGTTTCCTTTACGGGGCCTTTACGAGTTCGCGTGGGAACGGCCCAGCAAATTAATTTGTTTGCAACCCTTGTTCTACCCCCATTACTATGTTATTGATCTTTCGCAAGGCTCTGCATTTTTTCATGTCGGTGTACTCTGGTTTTGTATGCCGTCTATGCTCAGAAATACGTTGCTTTGATTAAGTCAAGGGTGAAAATGGGAACTCGGAATTCGGTGTTTAACTCTTGTGGGATAATGAACCGGAAACGCGGCCCCAGATTTCTGATCTCTTGCTGCTTTTGTGGCCCCAAGGTTTTTCGGGTATTTTTGTTTTATGCAGAGTTTTTATATAATTTCTGGAAGTGGAAATAGCCGGCTTTTATTTCTATTATTCTCCGTTTTTTTTTGGGGGGTCAAAGCACATGACTCCCGCGGGGTTAGGCCTTAGATAATCAACATAGCAATGCCAAATTACCAGCTAGATGTTTACTTTCTGTTTTGCGACATTTAATTGTTGGATGAAATCTATAATAATGTGCTTCAGACTCATGATTCCATGTCGTTAAGAGTGTCCTTTAGTCGAGACAGTAGAGGTTTTCTAATTGTGTTTCAATCAAAGTGCAAATTGCGTGCTTTCCCTAAATTTTCTTTTCAAATTCTGCCTCACATGGAAATTCTTCAAAATTTGGGCTGATGTCTTGCTGATGCAGGCATTTTTGTAGAATTTTCTGTAGGTAAACGAATAAAAAAATGTAGGTATTTTGACTTTTTCGACCAAAAAATCTCCATGATTTCCACTCCAAAAAATGCAAATTTTTTTACGAGAAGGTGGGCTTCAACCTCCCATGGTTTTTCAGTAAAATGTTCAAGAAATCAACATTTACGATTATTTATTTAAAACCTTTTTATATCGCTCCGGACACCTCGTTTGCCAGTAATTTGGGTTCCCTTCTCAATAATTCCCTAATATACTCCACACTTTCTTTTGCTGCCAAATTTAGCGTCTTTCCTGAATGGCAAAGTAATGACGCAGCATCAAGGCCTGAGAGTATCTTTGGAGGTTCTCCTGGTTTCTGATTATTATTCTGCGTGACAATTAGTGGAGCTCTGCATTGTTTGGATTGCTTCCTTTTTTGAACTTTTACAGTTTTTGCAAAAATTTGTTCCATCTCGCAATTAGTTTGTTTCATCCATGACGTGGTGAAGCACGTTTTACAACATGTTGAAAACATTTTTCTGTTACATTGGGTTCATTTTTTTCGTCACCTTTTAAATTTATTTTTTTCGAATTTTACAACCCTTAAAATTTAAAAATTTGAAAAAACGACATTATTTACTTTTTCGGAATTCATGATCATTTTACAGCACTCCACATTTCTCTCCGTCTCCTTTCTAACCACAAAAAAGATTCTTTTCTTTTCCGCAAAAAAATTTTCGTTTTCCTTTCGGACCATTCGAATGCAAAAACAAGAGGCGTTCGTGTCGTGGCTGAGTGGTCTAGTGGTATGATTCTCGCTTCGGGTGCGAGAGGTCCCGGTTTCGATTACCGGCTTAGCCCAACTTTTGTATTTTTGCTATTTTTGTAATGTGTTATGTAATAATTTATCGTAAAATGATTTAAAATTATTTTGTAATTTTTTGCAGTTGCTTTTATATGCTTTATTTTTCGCGAACATCCCTTTTCCTAATCTTTGTCGCATTTTTAGCCTTATCCCTCCTCCATTGGGAGTCTAACATAATATCAAGGCTGATAAAAACCGGAAACTGCCAGCAAGCCAATCTTATACCTTTGCGGGGACAAATTCCCAATTGGTTTGACGAAGGTAGATGTTTTAAACACGCAAATGCCGTCATTCGGCCCAAATAACACCGAGGTTGGGCCGACGTTTTGGTTGCGGAATTAAATGCTGGTCCGACTCAAGAAGCACCTGAGGGTGTGCTGAGGGTCGCGGCAAAAAATGTCTAACTTCACGGACCTACGCCACGGCGGCGATTTGTCGGCATTGGGCAAGGCGTTGGAGGAAGATGACAAATTGGAAAGGCAGTGGTAAGAAATGAGGTTTTTTTGTAATTGCGGTAAATAAGAGTTTATAACGCCAAAAACACTTTCAGGCATTTCCTCGTTCTCTGTGTGGTTCCCATAGCCTGTATTGTGGGCAATGTCTTAGTGGTGTTGGCTGTATGGACCACAAAATCCCTTCAAACTCCAACAAACTACCTCTTAGTGTCGCTAGCCTGCGCTGATCTGCTAATAGGATCCACAGTTATGCCATTTAGCATTTACGTCACTGTAAGAACCCAAACAACAACATTTTTCCTATCTTCCATCTTTTTTATCTTTGCAAACCTAACTTTTTAGGTGAATAATCTGCATTGGCACATGAGTGCTCTATGGTGCCATATCTATACGATGCTGGATGTATGTGCGTCAACGGCGTCTATAGTCCATTTAGTCCTCATAAGTATCGATCGGCTGGTGGCAGCAACCAAGCCGGCCGAATATAAGACTCTCAAACATCGACGACGGGTTTATTGCGCAATAATTGGAGCATGGTGTTTCAGTGTCTTTCTGGCTTTACCTTTAGGTAAGTAAGGGAGGACTAGCGAAATCTTATCCTATTTCTGTTTAAATTTATTCTGCACTATTTTATCAAAATCAAAGAAAATAATTTTTTAAATGTTTTAGCTTTATAAAAAATACCATTATCAAAGAAAATAATAAATTTCTGACGTCATTATTATATGTATATACAATCCATTTTGATTTCAAAAAAAATATATTTCAGTTTCCATTGGTCACGCAAATACTGAGTTAGTGTTGCAAACTGAGCACCACTGTGGCATCTACAATCCCATGTACATGTTGTACAGCTCAATTTTTGCATTCTACTTGCCATGTGTGATTATGTTACTGACCTATGGCTATATCTTTTACACTCTGAAAAAGCGACTGCGAGCCATTCAGCTGCAAGAAATGGCCGGAGGGCAGTTTCTGGGGTTCGGTGCGGACGTCGGAAACATCGCTCAAAGTGCAATTGAGACGGTGATTGGTAGGGAACGGGGTAATTTAAGAATGTTGTTTAGGAATCGAACCAAGGAACCGGAATATGATCAGTTGGGAGAAACCGTTGCTGAAGAAGATCGAAGAGACCGCGGCGGAGCATGCCAGTTCGTTGAATGACAGTGAGCGGGAACAGGTAAAGCAAAATTAAATTTTTTGATAAAAAATTAAAAACAATGACGCCAAGTACATTTTTTTAGATTCAAAACCTCCTTGACGCATATCATCCGTCTTCGTCGGGATCTCAAGAGCTCACAACACTCGACGAATACCCAGAACGACCTCCCTCGGTGGTTCTGGAGGCTGTGACGCTCAAACAACAAATCTACGAGTCTGCTCACAATTCACCCAAACTTGAAGTGCCTCCGGCATCACTGCTGATCCAGAAAGTGTAATTTTATTTTTGTGCCTTACAAGATCCAAAATATTCGAGGTTTCCTTTGAAGTGTTTTTACTCCTCGATTTTAGCAAGACTCGTCGCTTCTCTGAGACTCTGACCACAACTCTAGCCAGGACTCGGCGGAAATCCAACACGAATCTCGTCGAAAATGGCGCCATCACCGCAAAAAACCGCCGATTCTCCGTACAGCCGGCAACTCTATCGCAACCCAGAGATTCTCAAAGTCTTCTACGGCCTTATCGAGGGGGAAAACAGATGCGAAGACTCTCGGAGATCATCAGCGATTGGGAGAGGCCCTCCCGATCTTCTCTCAGTCAGATGTACAGTTTCGCGAGAAGAGAATCTGTCTACATTGCGAGGAAAAAACTAGCCGGATTGAAAGATTGGGCCCTCGATTTGTTGGCCAAATTAAAATCAAAACAGGGAATGGCGGTGAGAAGGGAAGCTCGAGCGACGAAACTTGTGGCTACGGTCATGTGTAAGCTCGTGTTTAGCAATTTTTTCAGTTTTTGTACGTATTTTACCCAATGAATAATACTTCAGGCGTATTTCTAATTTGCTGGCTCCCGTTCTTCACGCTGAACACAATCAAAGTGTATTTGCTCATGGTCAAGAGCTGGAACACGGACTATGAAGGGCTGTTTCATTGGCTGACCGCACTCGGATACCTCAACTCTTCCCTCAATTTTTTCATTTATTCTGCCATTAATAAGGTGAGCATTGGAATTTTTGTTTAATAACTAGGGAAGGCTCAAGGCCGAGTTTGAGCAAAATTCAAAAAAATCCTTTATTTGTTTGACATCCTATTTTAGCCATCGTTATTAATCAAATTTCTCATTCAGCGATTCCGCTCCTCATTCCGACGTCTGATCGGACTTCGGCGAACACGAAGTGGCAAGACCTGGATGTTACCGCCAAAACCCACAAAGCAAAAGACAACCAAGTGTGTGAATGGTTGTCAGCCATTCAAACGGGTCAAGAACACAACGTTGCGGAAAGCTAGCTCGGTGGGGTAAGTTGTCTACTCTATTCGATCTTATTAAATGGTTCAAAAATTTAATTTTTAATCTTTGAAAAAGTCCATTTGTTTCCTGAGACTCACATTTATTGTGGTTATAAGTAAAAATACAGTGAGATTTGACTGGAATTTTGGGTAGATATCAAAAAAGTCATCTTCATCAATCAGGGATTAGAGCATGACCGGACACGGCCAAGCTGGCCCCAACTGATCAGTCCGCTCCTTTTTTTAATTAAAAAAAAGAATGGTCATCTTGACCGGCCAAGGTCTAATCCCTAATGTGAGAATTCGATTAAGATTTCAGCCAGATCTTACTGTACGTTTTAAATGGTTTGACTCTTCCGTTTAACTCTTCTACTAATATAATATCTTTGCTTACGACTAACCCCATAACCTGCTAACAGCTTTCCTGCTTGCTCTGCCAACCCTCTATGCCTTGAACTAACCTTCCTCCTACTGTAAATTATTTTTTATTTTTTCACAAAACAGTAAAATTTTCCCAATTTTTGTTCGCACGGCACCGTATCAGTTTAATGATGTTAACAGGTGTTTAAGGATGCTGGGCCGCCGCTTTGAGGTCAACAAGCCCGAGATTGTGATCGACGAAGTCAGCCGAATCTCTCCGAATCAGGTGTCCATCTCCGAAGGCGGGAAGACGACGTTCCGGTGAGTTTGGGAGACACAATCAGTTTGCTTGCATCTTGGGCGTTTTGTTCCTTTGTTTTGGGCGACATGTAGAGCAGCATCTTGCTAAGCACAGTGAAACCTCTGTTCGAAGAGCTCCACAACAAAACCTGTCTATAACGCATGACTTCATGTTTTCTAAGAGCCAATTTTAAGCCAAAATGAAGCACCATACAAGAGACACTTATACAACGAATTTATTTTTGTAGTCTTTTGCGATTCGTTGTACAGAGGTTTGACTGTAACAATATTTGTTTTGGGAGTAGCTAGAGTAAATCTCTAGTCACTATGTGGCACTTGCTACAGCTTTATTACGATATCCCCACACACGCCTTGCGGTTTGATCACTGCTTTCGACAGTCGCGTAATCTCTTTCCAATGTCAAGAAAGTCTTCTCTGTTTTAATCGAGTTATGCGAAAACATCACAGATTCTTGGTATCTAACGCTTCGTTGATTAAAATTTTAGCGTCATTATACGAATGTATGTATAATGTTTTTGATTTTTCGACAAAGTGCACTCTAAAAACCTCTAAATTTGTGGCGGACTTCGACGTAAAAATCCTGAGGGTTTCTGCAAAGCGCGACCTAAAAACCCCACATATGCCTTAGAAAACGCTAATCTTAATGCATGCAATACTTAAAAAATTTTACGTGTCAAACGGCTTACAATAGTAAAAATAAAACTGAACTTCGCTATTTCTAATCTTTTGTCATCATCTTGCCCCTCACCCGTTCCCGACTCCAAATACCCAACCCAATACAGATACAGTTTCAGTCGTTCCTCCGACGATGGGATGCATCGTTCCTCTTCAGAAGTGATCGGTGGTGTTGTCTTCCCTTCCAATCATGATAGTCGACGAGGTTCTGGAATGAGCAACTCTTCAGCGTCGCTACAACTTCATGACATGCACCAGATCGCTGAGGCTTCGCTGAAAGATTCCGAAATCTTTGTCTGATCTCATACTTTCATCTCTACGCAGTGTTTGGATCTCAGAGACAATAATGTAAAGAATATATCATATTGTACAAACGGTTTTATTGTTATGCATTTTTTGAGACTTTTATATTTGAAATTCAAATGAAATTTTATTGAAAATAAAAAATTGAAAAATTTCAAAACGTAAAAAATCAAAAAATTAAAATATTTTTTGTAAAATACGAATATTAAAACCGGTCTTTCTCGTTTTTAAATCGAAGGTTCCCGAAAATGATAGGGAAATCGATTAAACGTCCCAAGAGTTAATCGGATTATGGCTGATCAGGCCGGTAGTGTCATTCACGCTTTCCCAACGAGCTGTCTTTTTAAATAATTTATGCGAAATAATGAATAAGTTGTTTATTCGTTTCTAGAACCTTCACTGTATATACAAATGACAGGGATTTTTTGGCTTGGACCAGTTGAACTTTTGGGATTTCAAATTATGAAGTTTCCCGGGGAAACTTGAAGTTGCTTTAGCCTGATTGGCAGATTTTTTGGGCACGTAATAAACAGTATATTTGTAAGAGCCGTATTTTATAAGATAGATGTAAAATTTTGCTATGAGCATTGCAATGCCTCTGCGTGATACCGAAAGGTTGTAAAGAAGTTTGTTGCCCTAAGAGGATGGGAAATCAAACCTTGAAAGGATTAGCTTGCCTTTGGCAAAGTTTTCTCGTAAGATTAAAGTCTATGTAAATCAAGAGCACACAGAGCACTTACTTAATATTAATCAAATATTTTCCTTACTCTACTTGAACTCCCCGCAAAAAAACTTTCCCTTCAAAAGCGCTCTGTTCTCCTCAATTAAATAATCATTACTTGTTCTTCCATATTTATTTGCTCAACACTATATAAAAGTTGTATAATGTTTATTCCCGGTAATCCGGAACATTCCCCCGGTGGAAGAGGAATTTTAATCGTTTCCAAAAAGTTCAGAGGACTTTTTTCCGGTCCCTCGCGCTCGATCCCCTCCCTTTTCTGCGTCCCATTGCGGATTGGATCAAATTTATCCGATTTATTTTTTAATCCAAGTTATCCAAAATCCCCGATTCTCTAGAAACTAAGCCCTTGAGCGACTTTCTGACTTTTGAGAACAATAAAACTATTCTTGACGCATGCTTAGAGCTTAGGAATAAAATAATGGTCATTCCTTGGTTAGTTCAATAAAAAACAACAGTAAAAAAGTAATGTAAACAAAAAGTTTCAGCTCTTGACGTGTTTAGAACCGACTCGAAATCCCTTTTCGGATGTTGTGGTGTTGTTTATTACCACTCCAAAGACCTAGATTTGATCTAGCGTAAAACATTTTTTTACGTAGATCAGAATAATGGACATGGATAAGAAAAACCGCTATAAAAGTGGTGAATAACGTCCGAATGGGCTGAAATTTCTTCCACATAAAGCTTAATTCTTTCTGAAAGGAGCCACAGTAAAACTTATTTTGGTTTGAATTGGATTACTCAACTTTCCGACCGACCTTTCACATCTGATCTCATGTGTAATATAAATTTCCGACCTTCGGAGAAGTCAAGTGGAAAAGGCCGGAGCAATTTGTCTGGACATTGGAACAAAGTCAACTTGCAAGCTCAAACTTGACCTTTTCAAAATCTTTCGAAGGTCAAATTCAACTTTTCCCGCCAAAAATTTTGCAGGCTGCAAGCCGCAATTATTTTTCGGAAATAATGTTTGGCCAAACGTTTGGCAATAATTTTTTTGTTGGTGTGAACGTGAAAGTGAAACTTTTCAACTATCTCACCTTGAACAGGTCCATTTAGCTGGGGATTCTCTCGGATTCACCTCTCGAATCCACAGATTTCCCGTTTTTTCAGCGGTTTTTCGTTGTTTTGTCTGGTTTGGGTGGGGTTATTGGACATCCTCTTGTTTTTTATGACCTCCGTTGAGCCTTGTTTGCCTCATTCTATCATCTAATCACCTTTTCGATCAAAGATTTATCCATCTTCGCAAAAATCTTCCGATTATTACCTAAAAACCCAATTCTTTCTAGAAATTTCCATCGGAAACGTGTTGATTTACCTTGAAGATGATCCGAAATCCCTTCAATGACGTGGGCAATGATCTACTTTGTTATTTACCGTCGTATCCAGCTGATTCTTACCCAAATATTTGGATTTTGCGCCGGTTTTCCGCTTTTCGCGCGCTGTTTTTCTCAATCCCAAGGTGGAGGAAGATGGGGAGGGAAAACTACGTGATTATGCCATTATTGTCTTACGTGAGGTGCGAGGATAGTGTGACTGTGCGGGGCGGGATGATGGAGCGACTGTTGCCGCCGGGTAATTTGTTATCCGCCCGACCTTTATAATTGGTGTTATCCAAGTTGATTGATAGATTTTAGGTGCTTTCGGTTGGATTTTTGTCGTTTTCCGAGCCGTACTTGTTTGTGCTGTCATGTAGATCACTTATCCTTGCGCTTTGTTTCAATTGAACTGATATTTCCTATTTTTTAGGCCTCGATATTATCCATGACACAGACCCTTAGGATTCATTGGTTTTTTATTCTGATTGCCTTTTGCAATGCTGAATTCAGCCCCGACTTCAAGGATTTTCTCGATCAGAGGTATGGCCAAGATGTTGAAGCCAAATTGGAGAGGATAGATCAAGGCCGACTTTTGATGGGAAGTTTTGGAGGTCGAATGGATAAAACCCAGCCAATTCATAACCGAGTAAGCTCATTTTCTGCTGTTTTGTGACTTGTGTTGCGCATTCATTCCATTAAACAGCGGTTATTACGTTTTTAATGGTATTTTGATACCTATTTTGTATCCATTCTTTCAGCCTGTAATTTTTGTCCACGGAACGACTACAAAAGCCGGATTTTGGTTGCCCCACCGTCGATTCTTCCTTGAGCATGGGTATTCGCCTGCAGAATTGTATGCAACAACTTACGGCGATGGGGGACTGAACCAAGGATTTTTCTTCAAATCTATTGATTGCGATGATGTGGAAGCGGTAAGGTTTACACATTTTTTCTTTGGACTTCAGATGGGATCTAAATAAGATTTTCTTGGGAATTTTTGCTTGATATGAACAAAGTTTACATAATTGTTATATTAAGGATCGCATAAATTAAATTAGTTTATCTAATTTTTGCAAAAAGTTTTGCAGCTTACTCCCAAAGTGTTGAGCTAAGTAAGGTTTTTATAACCTACAGAACGTCTAATACGATATTTTATCTGTTTCAGGTCCGAACCCTCATCATTGCGGTCAGCGAATACACAAATTCCAAAGTTGATATCATCGCGTATTCCATGGGTGTCGCTGTCTCAAGAAAAGCGATTCTTGGTGGAGAGTGTGCCCAAACAAAGAAGAATCTAGGTCCCTCCATCACATCGGCTGTTCAGACTTTTGTTTCGGTGGGGGGATTGGGCTATGGAATGCAAAATTGTCTCCCGGCTTGGCCGGCTTGCAATTCCTTAAATGGAATGATCTGCACCTCGGAATTCTTGGTGAGTGTTTCTTGTATTTTTAGCTTAAAGAGTTAGTCGATTGAATAGCCATTACCGAGTTAATTTACAATAATTTTAGCGTGATGTGAACGCCCCAAATCAACGGTACGAAGGCCAGAACTCGTATGCAATTTACAGCCTGGACGATCCGATTATTGGAATTCACTGTTGCGGACATTATTGTGCCGAGCTGAAGAATGCGAATCTGACTGTAGTTAGGGGCGGATTAGATCACTTGGGCATTGTTTTAGCTACTATGGATCTTCAATACAACCTGGTGAGGTACAACAAAGCTGAAGGTGTTTAGGTCCGAAAATCTCAGGAATTTTAATCTTTCTTTCGCAATTTTACGCATATCTGGAAAAGGGATCATTGCTTTGCCGTTTTCAGTCTAGGATAGTGATGTTATTAATTTTTAGGGAGATTTTTTATTGTAGTAGTTGTTTTGATGATGTTTTAAAAAGGCTACGTTGTAATAGGTAATTAAGTACTGTTGTCCTAAAGGTCGTTTTAGTTGTTAAGGTCGACCATTTTATTGGTTTAGATGGTAGCTTTCAAATTTTTGGTTATAGAAGTCGATTTTTTATCTTTTGACTTTTGATACATACGACTGCTTTATTATGGCAGTATTGTACAGTCTTCCCCTTTCATCTCACATCGGGTATCCTCAAAAATCCAACATTCTTTCACGTTTCTAAACATTTTTTACGTTTATTCAATATATATTGTGAAATTACATGTTCTATGTGAATAAATACCATCTACTCAAATCTTGAACCATTTCGAAAAGTTAATTATCTTGTACTTTACATAATTATGAACCTACTGACAATTGTAACACCATTTGAGGTAAAAAAATAAATATGAATCGCTGAAAACCACGCGGAAATAAATAAAAAACGTGAAGGAAGTTCACCGAAGAATAGTGAAAGACTTTTAGAGAAAGGTTTTAGAGAAATTAAACAAAAATGCTTTATAAAATACGATTATCTGGAAGAAAACAAACAATAACCAAAGAAAAAGTTTAGGCCCGGTTTCGTTTCTTGAACTCGTCCACATAATAATCGATGGTCCGTGTCAACCCGATCTCGAATGGTGTTCTGCATTCCCATCCTAGCGCTAGCCGGATCTTGGAGAAGTTGATGTTATACCTCCGATCGTGGTACGGCCTGTCTGGGATGGGGGCGAATGTGGGTTTCGTTTGATCCCTGAAATTTTGAAGGGGTCAATTTTTGATTAATGATCTACTTTTGTTTCGAATAGGTAAACTATGTGTTTATAACTTGTAAATTTCATTTTTATAACGGGTAAGAATTAGATTTAGACGTGGAAAAATGTAAGTATTCCTGCTCTTTGTGTGATTTTTGATAGCAAAGGGTTACCGTAAACGTAGAATTTCTTTGCCGCAACTATTCCGGTCCATGAAAAGGTCGAAAGAGATCATGTTGACTAATTTTTGTGTCGATGACGTTTTCGCGAAATTTTTCCTCTTTTTCTATTCCCAAGCACTTTTTGTTTCACTTGGCTTTGCAATCAAGCCCAATCTTTTCCTGGCTATACTCTCCCCACAACTCACCGAACCATCTTCTTTAAGACCAGCCGATGGATCATCTGTGTAAGTTCCATGTTACTTTTTTCGAATTCAATTCCGATGTTGTAACATTCGCCGACTGTACCCCGTTCAGTGACTCTTTTGATCGCTTCGGCACAATCATTTACAAACATCCAACTGCGCGTGTGCTTTCCGTCGCCCATCAACGGATATGGTTTACCTTCCAAAGCGAGTTTGATGAACTTTGGAATAAGTTTCGAGTAGGCCTGTCGAGGGCCGTAGACGTTGTTCATGCGTACCATCACATATGGTAGTTTGTAAGATCTCTGAAAATGGTGAGTTACTCCTTTTTGCATTTATCGACCACTCGCGAATCATTTTTAGATGGGTTTCAGCCTGTTTAGACGAGCCGGAAAATCTTTTATTCCAAAAGCCGTTTTGGTCAGTCTACTTACGTGATAGCTATTTACAATGTTTTCACAAGCCGCCTTGCTCGCCGCATATGGATTTGTGGGATTGGGCAACGACTCCTCCGTCTTTGGAGGCTCATCTTCTCTGGAGTCGCCGTAGATCTCGTCTAAACTGGACGAATAGAGTGGCATTGAACGCAGAACACGACAGAAAACTCACCTGTACTAATATGAACAAATCTCTTCACACAGCCCGAACTTTTGACGGCCTCTAACAGAGCTGTGGTCCCGATGATGTTCTCCTGAATCGTCCCGATACGATCGTTGTAGGACTCGTCAACGTGGGTAACGGCGGCGAAATGCACGACGGTGTCAACCTTGTTCTTGGTGATTAACTCAGCGACCAGAGAGATGTTGAGGATCGTGCCTTCTACAAAGATGTAGCGACTGGAGTTGCGCACATGACATTCGATGTTTTCTTCACTGGCGCCATGTGCCAGTTTGTCAATGTTTACGATCCTAAAAGAATCAATCTGTTTTTGAAGCATATAATTACAGCATCAGGGCTCTAAAGGATCTCTATTGTTTTTATCCTTCAGGTCGTAAAAATTTGTTGCATGGAAGACCGTATTACAATAAAATAAACAAAAGGTAAGTCAACACTCACTTTGCGTTTCTCCAGTCGTTGTAGATGAAATTTATAAAATTCGAGCCAATGAAACCGCAGCCACCGGTTACCAGCACGACCTCGGGCTCATGTCGCTCAGTCATCACCTGGAACATCACGGTATGACATAGAAGTTGCCTTTTAAGGGCCGGAAAACGCGATAAATACCGCCAAATCCAAGGGTATAGAAAAGCTTTGAGTAGTTTGTAACGACAAGTCATGTTGTGACAATTAAGTCAATGCCAATTACACAACCGCGTCTTCAAAAAAAAACACCTGCTTTCCCAACCCACAATCAGTAAAAGATGCCACGAAACCCCGCTACAAAAGAGTAATCAGAGCGCGGAGCCAAGAAAAAACAAGTTTAATGCCAGCAGCAAAAAAATCGACCGATGGAAAAAAAGTTAAATCCAGACTCGATTTTTTGGAATCGAAAAAGGGGAAAGCTCGTGCCGCGGCTCTTTTAACGGACCTATCTCCCCCAAAAAATGAACCTTTTCAAATTCAGACGTCGACTGACCAAAAAGAGGGTGATAACGATATAAAGAAGAAGGGGTGAAAAGAATTTCGGGATGGATAATAACTTTTAAATTGGGATCGAAGTGAAGAAGAACAGGCTTCAGACGAGTTTCGGGAACCCCGTGAATTATTGGCGACGTTTTTTATACGCGCCGAGATGGAACGATCAGACGTTTTCCTTGGGGCGATGAAGAAGACCGCTGCTGATGGCGGAAACCAGAATCATATCCCAGCCCTCAAACGCCGGGGGAATCGAGCCGTTGCCACCACCGACAATACTGATTAATTCTTCATCGCCTCCACAATGCTGGAAGTCATCGAAGAATTTGAAAGAGAGGATGCAACGAACGTAACAGTAATAAACAACGTGCTGTTCGTGAAGAGGAGCTGACTAGATGATGATGGATTTATTTACCGGCGCAGAACATGGCGGAAGCTGATGGAGTTGAAGTGGAAAATGCCGTTGGGCATCTAATTTGTCGTAGAAAACTTTAGAATTGAAGGAGTAACCGGAAGAACTGGATTTGCAAACGCAAGATTGCTTTTGGAAAGCTGTGCTTTTAACGGTGTATTATAGGAATTACGCAATAACGTTTAACCCCTTACTTATCGACTTATAGAAAGCCCAATGCAAATCCTTCCTTTTTGGCAGCGTGGAAACGTGGCGTGGTACAATCTTTATCGCGCATTTACTCGCAGAAGTTGCCGGTTCGAACCTTGGTCGGGTTGGGACCAAGGGTTTCTGACTTCAAACGGTCTTTCGCTGTCATAAAGAAGAGATCGTGCCTACTTGCATTCGTCAACACGAAGTACCAACCCTGATTTCAGAGGATAAAGTTTATACTACGAACTTTCAAACAAAATCCCTGCGTTTCCGGGTCGTGGCTGAATCCATTCGCTAACGCGATTACCCTAAAAGGAGTTCGCGAAAGGGGTTAAGAGTGTTTTGGCATAGATTTTGGGTCGGTAAGAAATAATCATATTCGAGATGTTTGAACACATGCAGGATCGGGGTCACTGACGAAAGAGCGTTTGAACTTCTCATAAATAAAAAATGAGGACAAAAAACAGAGACAGAGAAGAAAATCATGCCGATAGTTTGAATAATCTATGAAGACGTTCCTACGGGCTTCAGTTCGCGATTAATGCCGTAGAAGCCATATTAGCCGAGTTGAAGGGGAGCGGCGCTAATGAGTAATCAGCGTCAGAATCTCAACCCATAAATTATCTGGTTGCAGAATTCGCAACTCGTAACTCCAGACGAAAACACGGTACATAGAACAAAATGAAAAGTTTACAAAATAGAAATGATTTTCAAAGACCTCACGAGTAGGAGGAGACACCCGAATCCTGACTACGAACTCGCCAAGATTATTAATAAGCCCTTGGAGAGACAAAAAATGGAAAAATTCCAGGAAGATGAGTGAAAGGGATCAGCGTGAAAATTATCTTTCAGAATCAGCAAAAAAAACACGCAACGTCGAGTCGCTTCCATTAGTTTTCGATGGCAGAAAGATTAGGGGAAATCTTTAGGCAAGCACGCTAACAAAAAAGGCGAAGGAAGCTATATCAAGAAGGCGATAACTCGAAAGATTTTAAGCTGATTTAGCGGGTTAGCTCGATGCTAAATGTGTGAAGATAACTACAATCACTACGGTTGAACTCACCGAGGAAATAGATTAAGTTACGGCGTCGCGGAAATACTTAATAAAGCTTTGAGGAAATATTTGCTTGGAAATTGCTGGATAAAGGTGTGACGGCCAGATCCCGTTCATTTCGGTGTGAGGTTCGGAGGGATAAGGTAAGCAAGAAAGTTCACGTTTCACAGTTCAAGCACTTCTGTTGTTACAGGACCTAAGTTGTATTGTTCTAGCAACAAAATGAAGATTATATAGGGTGGCGAATAAGCCTAGATGGCCGTAACTTCCTATTAAGAAACTGTTGTAAGACGAAATAAATTTTACGCCCAGAGTTATAAAGGATGACACACTTTCGAAGAGAACCGGAAGTATTTGTCGAACCAATTTGGTAATACTTAAATACCATCATTCCCCAATCACGTTGTTGCCCTCACAATCCAGTTATCTCATCCGCTTCCTCATGCCGAACAGTTCGTCCGCTACAAAAGCGCTCTACAGCGCGGCGGAGTAGGAATGCTGAGCTCCCTCCAAAAAACATGGGCGCCGCATTCATTGCATCCGCCCAACCAGTTCCCGTCTCTTATCTTATCTCGTTCATGTGTTACGTCTTACAACCGAAGACGGAGAAGTCACCCCCGCGCATAACCTGTTCATCCGCGGCAGCTTTATGTAATCGAGACAAGCCTCAATTACATTGTGCTGCCTCGGGATTACCCAAACCCATCTAGAAGTTTTTTGGAGCATATTCCGCAACTGCAGACGCTGGAAAACGGAAACGTCAAAAGGGCGACCGGAAAACCGACAACCGATCACAACAAACCACAAGTCAAAGGGGATCTGGAGGGTAAGAGAAAGTTATTACGACATCCCTGTTGACATGCCCGCTTGTCGACCCAATTTCCGCCCAGTGCAGGATAAAAGTTTCACTTTCACCGTGACGAACTGAGTGCAATAAAAGTTTCTTAACCGAATCTCAGCGACAAGTAAATTTAGAAACGTTGCGCTAAAGAAACGGTTCTCTCCTAATTTGGAGACTTGGTAAAGGAACAGGTAAAGCAAGACTATACTGTCTTGTATGTTTGGAGGCATCAAAAATGTCACAAAAATGTCATACCCGACTCGAAAAATAACTTCACGCTTGCACTCATAAAGATAATTTCTATGTGAGCAGCGCCCCTTCCATAGTCAACCGTCTAAAAAATCGTCGTTGTTGTACCTGAAAAACGGGAGCTAAAATTTTTCGGCAAAATTTAAAGAAAAACTGGTGTCTTATCCCGAACAAACAACGTGATTGTTACATCAAAAACTTCGTTGAGAAGCCAAGAATAAAATTACAAAAGTTTTCCCATAAAATGAATTTCGAGATACCCTAAACTCCGTATTTCTCCTCAGTGAAGACTCAAACCATCTCGTAAACTACAAAATTCCCCAACTTGACCTACATTAAGCGAGGCGTTCAAAACCCGCCGAAATTCTCAAACGGCGCCCCCGTTAAGACTTCTCGAAACCTTGAATCGCTTCTTTTTTCAAGTTATTTTTGCCCTTCTGAAAACACTGTTTTCTTGATTTCTACGAACTTTCCAGACACACCGAGTACCCAACAATTGCCAACAAGTGTATTTTACAAGTTTTGGACCAACAAGAAATTGAAATGAAAAGTATTTGTTCAGGTTTATTGCTGGTTTGTTGGCCATAACAGCCATGGATTGACCAAAACTGGTGTTCATCTGATCTCGACTTGCAGTAGCGGCTGGCGAAAAAGATAATATTATTTCTGCAAGTTCATCTTACTCTCAAGAACTGAGACAGGAGATCTCTAGCCACGAAGCAACCGCAGCCCTGAAAGGAATAATTGGAAAGTTATTTTTTCTTTTAGCCTGTTTGTCATAAAAACTTTATTTATGTATCAAAGTGAACTATCGAGTCACCATTACAACCCAAAACGTTTACAAAGCACTAAAAAATGTCTAAACGACTCTAAAATACGATCTGCCCAGCAATTTAGTCATTGTTTTAACTCACCAAGTTTTCTTTCCGAGAAGAATATATCTCTGGCATTCTGTTGCATGTCAGAGAAATTATTTCGTAAAATATTTTTTCGATAAATTTTGGATTTCTTTTGACACACAGAGGCTGCTCTAGTTGAAGAATGGCTGGAGTAATTGAAGATGGCGTCAATAATGGAGTAGAACATGTTGAGGACGATATTGATGAGGGAGAGGGAAAGATTATCGAAGAGCGGGACAAAGAGGAGATCTTCGTCAAACCGCTCTATTCGTATTACTGCCATTGTGGACAGGTAATGTTTTTAATTTATTTTTTTGACTTTAGGCACAGAAGTTTTGTGTTTGCCCAGTTTTTCCATGAGTAATATATATTTAATACCTAATTTTCAGATGGGATTGATAAGCGACACACCATTGAGTCGAATGCCACTGAGGAAGAGGGATAAAGCTCGTGTAATAGACCCTAAATGGACATCGGCCAGATTATTTGTGGAACAAGGAGAAACATTTTACGTTAGACGGTACGTGACTTAAGATACATTGTTCTTGACTTTTAGGTGTTTTCTGGTGTTAAAAATTACTCGCTAAGCTGTAATAAGACTCTTGTATGTTTATAGAGAGCTTCAGCTTCATTCACCCTAATTTTCTATTAAAATACCCATTTTTTGCAGAAAAGAAGGTCTAGAACAACAATATCGAAGACAGTGCAAGAAATGCGGAGTCCCCTTATTCTACCAACATCCGTTTAATCTCGGAATCACCTTTATATTTGAGGACGCATTATTGACTGCAAAACAATTGGGAGGGAAGGTTGCGAATAATGAAGAATTAGTTACCAAGATGGTCATGACGAAACACATCAGAAATCAAGGAAAAGTTGGATCAGTTACAATCTCAACGGTGGCTGAGGAAGAAGAGGATGTTGAGCAGGTAAGCTAGAGAGATTTCGAGGGGTGGGATATGTGTAATACGATGAAATATTCCTGATGATACGTAAAATAATTTTTTGGATTTCATAAGCGATTTGCACGGGTTTGATGCTTGAGATTTTCAGAGAGATGCCCTGGAGACATACTCATCAAACGCCCGAATTGTCGAGGATCAGATGCGCCGTCGAGGAATGGTCCGTCAGCGGTATCAAGCACAAGATTCGTCAGCTCCTCAAGCCAAAAAGACCAAAAGAGGAACCCTGTTATTGTAAGGTTCGCTTTGAGAGCTTGTTGTTAATGTACAGTACCACTTTCTACTAATAAAAATATTTTCCTATAAAATCTTTCGCTGTTTTTATTAGTTTGATCTTCGATTTCCTCAAAAATTTATCGCCAATCTTAAATCATAACAAAACGGCATGCGAAGATGTTTTCTCCAAATGCCGATAACTGCCATCAGGCCGCCCAGATGTCATTACCCACCGGCACGCAACTTCCGCAAGCCCACCTTGGCCCACATGTTATCCTTTCCCAAATTTTATTTCCAAGGATTTACGAGGCCGTAAACCCTATTCTCCCCCCGGTGATTTGTTTTCGCCGACATTAATGGGAATGTTTTCTCTGTTCTTTACTAATTCGGGTTGTACATAAATTTAGTCATAGAGCTTGACGTAAATGGGAGGCTGAGTCAGGCCAACGGAAAGAGAATTACATCCAAATTTTTGGATTATTTTGCTCGAGGGAAAAGAGAGATTTGTCAGTCAATTTGAGGTAATTGAAGGAAATTTGTTGGAGGTGTTAATATTTTTGATTTGATCAGAAGATACAATGGAGTTTTATTTTCCGACAGACTAAAACTCCGTTTTATTTGTTGATTTCTCAATTTTTATCCAAAATTTTTTTTATGAAATTTATTCTTCAAACCTCCTTCCAAATAACTCAAGCAGAATACCAAACTTTCTCTCCGCCTCCGATAACAGTGCAACTGCACCCATTAACGGACCTTCTCCACTTTTTTTACCCCAATTAAATTTTTCGTTTTTAATTTTCCTTACAAGGAAAGTACTTCTATGGGGTGTGGAATTACCGGTCGAGATATATATCAAAAAATTCGCAAAAATTTTCTGATTCAGAATATATATAAATTAGCTGCCTAATTTTGGTCTATCAGCGAGTTTTTTCAATAAATGTTTTTCTCGAGGAAAAAAATCTGCGGCAACAAAAGCGCGCTCGGTCTCTTCCTTCGGAAGAGAGCGGTGTGGCCGAGTGGTTAGAGCGCTAGATTAGGAATCCGAGAGGAACGGGTTCGACTCTTTTTGCCACACTAAAACCCATTTTTTACATTGGAACTACTTTTAAGGTGTAGTTGTAATCCAATTTGATATTTTAAGGCTTGTCAAGGCCTCAGAATTTAGTTTAGCACAAAACAAAATTTTTTTATTGGTAAAAACACGGCCAAAAAGACACTTGCATGGTGTCGCGAGAAAACTTCTGAGGACAAAAACATGTCATCAGACCAAAATTAGGCAGCTAATTTATATATATTCTGAATCAGAAAATTTTTGCGAATTTTTTGATATGTATCTCGACCGGTAATTCCACACCCCATAGAAGTACTTTCCTTGTTAAAACAAAAAATATTCCTTTTCCGTCGTTTCCTCATTTCGTGCCAAAGGCCCTAAAAATAAGGGCGTCAAGTTTGCTGTGAAGTGCGGAGCGAAGGCGACAAAAAACTTGAAGCCAAAATTCAAAAAGCCGACGCCGAAATGAAGAAGGTCCGGAAGGAATCCGGCCACAAATTCCGCGTTTTTTTTGCAAGTGGATATTCCCTGGTGTTCGATGATTAAGGGAGGCGAGATGGAGGAGGAAATGGGGGATTATTGGGGGAGCTTTGGTTTATTTTGAGGGTATGGCAAGGGGAGAACTGACAACTTATTGTTAAAATTTTGGAATTGCATGACATGCAACTCTCGTTTTCTCTTCATCTTTTGCATGCATGGCTTGCCAACCCCAGTTATCAATTGCTGAAAATTTACGCTTGCTCGTTGCAATCTTAGCTGCAATGTCCAAGGATCTTTGCAGCGAGGGATGCCAAGATTTGAGGAAGCGTCCGCGGCGAAGAAAGGAAATGTTTGAAGTGCAGCAAAAGATTCTTTAAACATTTTGCACACACATTAAGTAGAAGCCATAAATCAGATCATCAAAATCAGCGTTTTGCATGGGCATCCAGGACACAGTGATCGTCGAATGAGTACGCGATAAGCGCGAAAGTGGTCAAAGAGAAAGCGTTTTTCGGCCTTCTTTGAGAAATTTTGGATCAAAATTATTTTTGATAGAAACTTTGTGCTCTCCGATCAATGCAAGTCTGAAAAATTTCCAAACATAAACTCGCATAAATGTGTAGAAAAACTATGTAATTAAAAAAGTTTTCGTTGTTTTGCAAAGCGCGGACTTTATTTATGTAAATCTCGCGCACGTTTTCGAAAAAACTGTCTAAATAAGTGCCAAATTTGATCAAATGTGAGCTTCAAACATCTCATAAGCATTTGAAATTTCATTTCTGAACCCAACCCTTGTTACCGTATGACCGTCACTTCGATCATACGAACAGCCGCCACTGAATGCATAAATGATGCAAAAATGCATCACTTTTCCAGATAACGTGTTTTTTTGCCTCAAGGAATGACAAGCCGTCTTCCAAGTGTGGGAAAACGTAATTGGCGCTCTCCCCAGAAATTGCACTCTTTCCTCACAAGGAACCTTTGGAGGATGTGTTTCATTTGCATCACTGATTAGTCGTAGTAATTCTGCGCAAATTTTATGTGGATCAAATATTCCGGAAGAAGAAGTAAGTGTAAATTTATGGGCATGCTGAGAGCAATGTGATGAAAATTTTTGAAGAGACATTTTATACGAAAATTTTTTATTTTTATTATAAGGTACAAGGTTTTTATTTACTTCGTTTAGTATATGCAGAAGTAGATTTGGCGATATAAAAATGAAATTTACCCTATGGAATATTAGGTGACATCTTATACAATAAAATCCTAAATTATTTCTCATTTGGAAACTGAATATAAAGTTTGCATAGTTTTCCACATGCGTACAGGAAAGGAAAAGAAAGTCCCTACGGGTTTAAACTCATAATTTTAATTTTTATAGTGTTAGGAGACATTTTATACAAAATTTTTATTTGCTTTAATTTCTCCCAATTATCGTAATTTCTGTAAATTTGCTTTATTTCTTCATCGAAACGATCAATCATGCTCTTGGCAGTCTTAGTAAGCCATTATTTATTCAATGAATTGTTCAATTTTATGATTTCATTTTCTTTCAAACCTCTTTTCCACAGTTTCTTCGTGATATTGTGTGGGAAACTAATAAACAAATTACTAGAAGTGCGGCAGCTTGATATTCTTCAAGTTTTGTAAACGTCATGCTCTAGGCCGCATGTGAATTTGTACAAGTTTTACCTTGCACGTTTCCCTGCTCATTTCTAAAAAAAAAATATTAAAACTTTAATTTTTTTGGAACGGTTCCCAAGTCAACACTTCCCTTTCGTCTCCATTTTTTATCCGTGTAACCTTTACACTTTCCCTGAATTGACTTCATTAAGCTAAGGACTTCTCCTGCGCCGCGTTGGAGGTCAATCTGGGCCGAATTTGAAAAAAGAAAACCCGCATCCTCGAAATGAGATTATGAGGACGGGAAAGATGGCCGTCTTCCGGCCTGCACCAAATTGAATGTTTACATGGGAAATGGAGATGCTGGTATGAGAGTTGTTTGGCGTGGGTTGAGCACATCAGAGTCGTTCGGGCCTAATTTCGGAGATTTGGGGGTGGATTTGCAAGAGAAGCTTGTATTTGCAATATTTTTTATGCAAAGTGTTTTTTATGCTTTATTTAAAATTTCGGAGCTCGTATTTTACCATTTCCCTTTGAGATCATCATTTTTTCAGCAGTTATATCACAAATTATTACAACAAATGGCCTCTTATTCTTGGCAGGCATCTTTTCGGAGCCGATCAATTTTTATTTATTCCCGAGCCACTTTTCTCCAACTTTTTTGAGCCTTGATCCGCAAAATTCTTTGAATTTTGAATCAATTCCCGGGGAAGAAATGGCGGTTGCTCCAGGGATAACGTTTTGAATTATTCCAAAATTGGCCAAAAACGGCTAGAAATTAATCTAGGGAACTTTGAACTCGGTTTCTTGTAAGTTTAGATGAGAGTTGGTAAAACTTGTCAACAGAGGTGCTCAAAGCACAATGAAAGTATTTGTTTTCACATTTTGCATGTATGCTCTGTTCAGGCCATAAATCAGTCCCTGCAAATTTTCGGTCTTGGTGTGAAGACCGAGATATCAGCGATCTTTGCAAACGGGAGAGTGTTAGAAATGAGGAGAGAAGTCAAGTTAAAAACTACTAAATATGTTAAAAAGGGGCTCCAAAAATTTTTTGACAAAATTCGACAACCTTCATCCTCTGCAAACCCTATTTTTTATTTGTTCATTTTACTGTAGCCTTCAACTTTGTGGCCAAATTTTCCCAATTACCGCTCTCTGTGCCCTTTTTTTAAGTTCGAATTCCTCCAACTCCCTCTTCCAAATTCACCTGGTCCAGAACACTTTTAAAATTTGTAAAATCTCCTTTTTTCTCTAAAAAAATGCTGCAGGAATTAATTTGCGGCCATTTCCCTAACGAGCTTAAGAGTCCCTCCGCTGGTTTGGCCGTTAATTCTTTTTCTGTTTATTTTTTGCCCCGACCCGGATATGTATCGTGTCCGAAATTGTCGAAAATTTTAAACGTCCGAATGTTCGAGTATTACACATATACTTTGAAAGTTTTTCGATACTTGGCGATGGGGGTTTGATTGAGATTTCTGAGGGATTTGTGACGGTTCTTGACAATTCCGAGGGAGTACTTGACGAGAGAGCAACGTGATTTGGGTTGGTTTGAGGTCTTTGCAGGTTGTTTTTTATGCGAGAAGAAGTGAATTCTAAATTTTTTTTGCAATGCAGGTATTTGAAATAATATTCAGCTGCTCTTTGCCTGCTTGCAAGGGAAAGACTTCCTTGGAGTTTTGCCTACTCGTTAAAACTCCGTCAGGTATCAATTCCTGAAAATGTTAGCTCGGGCATTCAACATATTAAACGATGAGAGAGAGCGTAAAAAAAATTTCAGCGGTATTTCACTGACCGCCGACCTTATTTTCTGCGGTCTCTCGTCTTCAAAAGCCTCTGAAAAGCTCAGGATCAACTCATCTCATAAACTT